ATGACCTAGGTAACACAGATGTAGATCACCCCAAATTCCATGCTCTAGTGAGGTAGCAATTTTGTGAACTTTTTATAGTAACAGAACAAAGCAGGTCATAAATCAAGACACCTTTCAAATATGCTGGTGGAGGCATCGGGTCTGAGGGTTCTGGCAAGCTGGAGAGCATTGCTTTAGGCCTTGGATGCTGTCTGGCTACTCTTGGCCTTCGACTGTCGGAAAACTAGGCTTTTGTTAAGTTAATACATTCCAAAATGTTAATCTGTTTGTCAGGACATAGGGTCAGTTTGTTCTGTTAAGTCAGACATAGAAAATGGAAGGGGGCAGGGCACAGCTATTTCGTAGACTATGAATAGCCCAAAATAAATTGTCTCATTGTTAGGCTCTGGACTCTTAGCGCAACCTCTCCACACCATTGAAGTTTCAATCAGCTTTTGTAGGTAAGGCTTCTCTCCAGGAATTCTTGTGCACACCCAATACTCACAGCTAGAAGCCATCACCATAAACATTCAACTCATGTCATTACAACAAACACATGACAGTTTATTCCTATTGGCAAGGAAAGTAGTACTTACCCGGTATGTTCAATAACACATCACCTCCTTCAACCCTCACACCAACTTCCTGAGGCTTTTATGTACACTTTCAAGGTAAAAGTTGACGGCAGCACAGAGTTCAAGGAGCTAACTTGTGGTCCTTATTACTCCACCCCTTTTCTTACTATCTGAGGGGAGGGGGGGTGACACATTATTGTATTTCTTCCAACAGAAACTTCACTGAAGACTTGCTCTGACCTCTAGCCCAGGAACACAACTAAAGTGCTCCCATCTCTGCCATTTCATTAGTAGGAGACATTCAATGAAGCAAGAAATTAGAACCCTGTGTTCCAGAGAATACTAACTAGCTGGGCTTTAATAAGTAATTGTGCATTCTTTTTTTTTAAGTCCATCAACAACTTTGAGAGCTATTGAACCAAGTAAAATTAAGCAGGTTTCTGTAAAACTTTTCAGATTCTCTAACCTGTTAATGTGCTATAAAACCTCCAAGATGTAGTCAGGAATGCTTCCCGGAGTGTCATCCTCATGTTTTATATATTATTTTAATATATAAATATATATATTATATATATATATATATATATATATATATATATATATATATATATAT